AGAGAGAGAAGAAGAGAAAGAGAGAAAGAAAGAAAAAGAGAGAAAGAGAAAGTAAAGAAATAAAAAGAGAGAGAGACATAGAGAGAGAGAGAGAGAGAATGAGAGAAAGGGAGAGTGGGAAAGTGTGTTAGAGAGAGACAGAAAGGATAGAGAAAGAAAAAGAGAGAAAAGATAGAGAGAGAGAGATAATTGACTAATAATGGTTTAATTAAAGACACGAATATTAATATTGAATATAGACATAATAAAGGTTAATATGCTAACGAGGCACTCTAATAATGAATCAGTGTCATATTACCATTTAATCGATTTATAAGCATATATATTCCTATGTATATTTTATAAAAATGTGTATTTTTAAATAGTAAGTAAGTTACTAAAGTTATAACTAGTAAGTTACTAGTTATACAATATTCGAAAAAGATGTTATAAAAATTATAGTATAAATACATTGTTTCAAAGGACGCATAAAAAATCTACGATGGGATTTGAATCTGTTTAAAGTCTGATCAGTATCTGATCTGATATCTACTAAACACCTAATTATTGCATTGATTACTCTATAATAAATCTCAACAGTTACAATTATAAGGCATAACTAAGTTAGTCTGAGTGGTACAGATGAATTAGAACGATAATATAAATAGGAAATATCTTTGAAAGATAGTATAAAGAGGAGATAGCTTAAGTTTTTACATGTTACAACAGATTTTAGAGCTTTCACAATTTGCCAAATATGAAATGACATTTTATATACAACAACAAACTAGATTTCAATGTTGAAAGAGACACTAACAATATTTCGTTTTTCACATTAATAAATTAAATCCTAAAAAGTGTACAAAATATTATATATCAGGGTTTTAAATTAGTTTTGAACCAGAGCCTCTTTTAAGTGTAATTGAACAATAAGCTAAATAATTGACTTTACATATAGTGAGCTATATATAACATACCCTTTGAATAGTTATTTTAATGTGTGTGTGTGTGAAGATGTTGTAGTAGATTATTATAATGAAGTTGTTTCTTATTTTGAACAATAGTTTAATATAGTGAAATTTTTCGAAATTCTTATTACTAGCAGTTGATTAATCTGAGTAATGTGTCAAAAGATGGTAACGTCTCACATGAATTCATTTACATATCATCATTGCAAAATCATATAAAAATTAAAAGAACACTAGTTTTTTGTTCGACTATTGCTGCGAAAAGATAATATATCCTGAGAACTTCACTGTACTGAACTATTAGTCATATCTGTGAAAGGTTCTTCTAAGCTACTCTAATTCAGTACTTCCATTTTTAACTGTATTTCCAAATGAATATCAAATCTCTAATAAAATCTAGATTTGATTTGTTGATGTAGAAAATGAAGCACTGAAATATCTGTATAAGAAAGGCCCTAACTTGATTTGACTTCAACAAATGCTTAAAGAATCCTGACACCACCGAATCGTATCATTTCAGAATTGTATGCAATTTACAGGATTGTTATTAAGGTATCGTTTACTACGTTCGCATTTAATATATGAACCTAATCATATATTGCTGATAAGTAATATTAAATAGTATTTAATCTTATCTTTCCATTTAGTATTAAATCGGTTTTTTCTTTTTTGAAGTTAAACATATTATTCTCCATATATTAGCATAATATATATATATGGTATTATTAACGTATATCTATCTATGTTATGCAAGTACTATATCCTGTAGATTTCATTTTTAAGACTGATAGGCAGGAATGGTAATATAAAATACAATTCTAATTTGTTGTTGTCAATTTAGCATAAAACATGGTATCTAAAAGCAGTCCATGTCCATGATCATCACATCATTATCATCTGATCATCATAAGTTGCAAACTTTACTTGAATACTGTATTATTAATATGGTAACAATAATAAATACTTCATATTATCTTTTTATTTCAAACTGTACATCAGATGACCTTCATTATTCTATAAATAATACAATATTTCTATTATAAAATGTAACGCTTATTGCTCATAAACACCAGATGCCGAGTTGGTATGATAATTGTAAGGGTGGATATTCAACATACATTACGAATGCTTCCGTCATTGTCAGGAAGTCGTAAGCGGAAGATGTGCTACACATATTTACATACATTGTGATGCTTATGAATATTTCAGGGTTAGTTTCAATAAAAATAATCATCCGAATATGATTCGTTTTTTATTTATTCTCGTCAAAAGAAGTTTTAGGATCTTATGTGAGAGCTACGAATTCTCAAAAAAACTCTCATTATAATAAATTTTTCTAAAATTTCTGGAAGGAGCGTTTAGAGAGAGAAAAATTTTAGTTTTAGAAAACTTTTTTGGAAGAAGAAAAAATTCGATTTAAGGGAATAAGATAAAATTTAAAAATAATGAGTGTGATCTTCCTATATTGCAGTTCCTATGGTAAGGAAATATATATAATTTTTGGTTAAAAATTTTTAATTTCATAAAATTAAGTATATCAGCATAAGATTGCATCACTTAAGGTTCCAACATTTATTTAAAATGATATAATTGTATACATATAATTTTTAAATTTAATCTTATTACCCTAGCCATGCGTTTTTCACGAAAAGAAATCATTACTTTTGTAGTGACAACCATTTCAAATGTTGATGCAAACATTTTGGAAGGTTTTCACAGATTACAGGTTTTCGGTTAACGCATTCTTCCGAAAAGAGAAGACATACGGCTCCAAATCAGATAAATACGAGATTTGATAAGCAATAAAAATACGATTTTTATCAAATATCGATCAGAAGTATCGAACGATTAGAGCAATTTCTGCTAGTCAAGAAAATTTGCATATATAAGTTCTGTGGCATTATATTAGGTTAATATATGTCTATCGGAAATGGCATTATATATATAAATGTCTAACATTTATCCAACAATAATTTTATTCGGAGGCAATTAACATCAGTAGGTAAACTTTTAGTAAAATAGCTTTGATTGTTAGTAATTTTAGAAATTTACAAATTTTCTAAAATTTTCTTTTCACTGTGAGAACTTTTTGTTCACTGTAAAGATAACCGATCAATATAACTTAAATAAAATATATCAAAACATGCTTACTTACATATATACAAAATGATTGTTTTACTTCTTTCAAGAAACCTAAGCCTAACTTTATACTAGAGACTTTATATGTTTGAGATCAATTTACTCTATATAAGCCTTTTTTCTAAAACCGTTATATCTAATGTTACATATTAAAATCGGCCAAGCTACAATTAAGCTACCATATCCAGATCAACATTAATATAGATTAATTAAACATCCTCGGGGTGGCAGTCCCCTAGGAGGGTACTGACGTGGTGAGGAGGCTTAGTAATTACGTTTTTAACAAAAAGTGATGTGAAGTAATTAGATTTCGGCTTTCCATTTTAATCGAATAATTTGATGTTCGAACTATTCAATAAATACAAATATTTGAATTTCTATATATATTTATAGAATTCCATAGAAAGATTAAATTTGTCGAATTCGACTGTTTATGTATATGATCACGTTGAAGGTCTGTGTTTAAACTTACGCTCGGCATATAGATTCTAGATAAAATATTTGGTCCGTTGCATTGGTGCCAAGAAATTGGTTAATTTATCAATAATAAATACAGAAGATAATAAAGTAACAGAGATGAATTGACACAAATCAATTTCATCAAAAAAGGTGTCGTTTGTCTGTTTAGCTTTTATCGGACCACCTTTACCTCTTTTAATTTTCTTAAGTATAGCAGAATAGTGTCATCAACCGGTATAGCGCTCCTCCAATATAATTAAAGGCCCCATTCAAGTTTTGTAACTCTTATGAAGTTTATAAAGTAAATATAATAATAAATAATATATATTTTTAAAATATATAATTTATTAAATTTTATAAAAAAAATTACTTTTTGAACAATTTAATACCATAGTTGCTTGGAATTATGTATGATTTGACCTAAGTATATCGTAACTTCTTAATGTTTTAATTAAACAACACAGTTCCCAACAACACAATTTTGTAACTATTAATTATATTCAATTTTAAATAAAATGTCGTGCTATAAAGCTATGTTTTTCCAAATGTTTTTTTGATAAATTTTTAAGCATAACGAAACATACACAGCTTTGCTCTTTTTAGTGCTGTTTACTAGCATTTTTACTTCTTTAAGGAGTTTTTAGCTTGCATGACGACTAATTTTTAATGCTGTTTTATTGAAATTGTTCTTGCATACGTCTTTGTTATATGGTTTGCTCATTTTTTGTGCTAGTAACTAGCACATTGGTTGTTGATTATTTTATTATATGTATATATGAACGAACTTAAAAATAAAATGCTTATGGGAGGGAGAAGAATAGAAAAGTTTATCTGGCATATAATATGAATTCAATTTATTATAATTTATTTAATAATTTACCAATTGTCATTAAACAATAATAAGTTTTTAATTACTGATAGAAAAAGAACTGACATATAATTTAGTATCAAAATTCATTTGTTGTTGTACGTATCTGTATCTGTTGCAACAGCGTAAGGGTGCAATCTCACTCCAGCTACTTAAATTGCATTTATTTTAAGGAACTGTTTTTTTTTGAGTTTTTTAATAGATTTTGTTTATTATAACAAAATTATTATACAAAAAAAGAAATTTAATTAAAGTGACATAAATTGAAAATTATTTTAAGGTATTATTCGATACGTCTACGCGTCCTTGCATTTTAATAACGTTCTTATTAGCGAAAATGCACACAAATAAATTAAATAATTTTTAAAAAAGAATTTATATTCGATAGTGCACATATCTAAATTTATGTTAAAATGTTTTTGTTTATAAACAGATTTTCACATATATTATATTAAAATTATAGGCACTTACAATATTTAATATTATTTTTTATTTATTTGCACTCAGCTGTTGTATCAGAAACTGTGATTGCAACTGTCATACTGTGTAGCTATGTTCCTTATAAGAATTGTCAATTTTGACATTTTCTATTCAAAATAATGTACTTGACAGTTGACAGTACGTCAACATCCGTTGCTATTGCTTCTTTCTCCTTTTCGTGTCTTTCTTTTTGCCTATTGAAATCGCCAAGATGGTACGCTTTTGCTACTAAATATCAAATCGTGAAATATAATCTCAAAACATCTAAAATATTAATATAGTATTAAAGAAATTGTAAATAATAATGCAAATTTTATAAAATAGTGGATATGTTTTTGTTACTATTAAAATATAATAATAATTTGTGTTATTGCTATTTGTGATTATATTTGTGCTTATCATAGTTTAGTTTTGAAGTGTTTGTGCAAAAATTCTAATTGTTATAAATATTTTAGGTGAATGTACCAAAACAACGTCGCACATTTTGCAAGAAATGCAAAGTACATAAGTTACACAAAGTGACACAATACAAAAAATCCAAGGAGCGCAAAGGTGCCCAAGGTAGACGTCGTTACGATCGGAAACAACAAGGTTTTGGTGGTCAAACGAAGCCTATTTTCCGTAAGAAGGTATGTAAATGGTGCAGAAATGCGCGTGTGTAAATTAATAAAATATATATTAAATTTCTGTGAGGTAACGTACGTTTACATTTACCGGGAATGTTTTTGTTGTTATTGTTGTTCTCATAGTTTGAAGCTTATTCGGCATATTTGTAGAACTAAATTGCTGTTGAACAAATGTTCTATTAATGCTATTTGGTGGGATAATTATGTGCCAAATAAAATTGAATTTTTATGGTGTCCAAACACATGCATTTAATATATCCGTGTATGGAATTATTTGCAGTTAGTTAACCAGAATATTCATACATTATTTAACTATTAATAAAACTTTACATTTTGCTTATTTTTTTTTTTATTATTAATTATACTTTTCTCTTTGTTTTAGGCTAAAACTACAAAAAAGATTGTATTGCGTATGGAATGCACTGAATGCAAATACCGCAAGCAGACACCTTTAAAACGTTGCAAACACTTCGAATTGGGTGGCGACAAGAAGAGGAAGGGACAAATGATTCAATTCTAAATTGTCATTCCCGCTTCATTTATATACCTTAAGGATTTTGTTTGTTTATGTTACATATCCAAAATTACGTGGAATGTTACTATTATTTGCATATGTAAACTGGAAACAATTGGCGATTGTGGCATTTACAAATAAATATTTTTAATTCTTTAATTGTCGCATTTTGTATTTTTCAAAATGGAAATGTGTGTCTATCAATCACGTGATTCGACAAATTATCGAATTGCGGTATGAGGTTTAGAAAATGGCTTCATTTCCATTTCATTATTAGACAACGCAACTTATTACCAATACCGCATAATTCCAGTTTCTTCGATCTACGTTAAAATATTTTCTTTCGGATAATTTCGGTTGGTGTGATAACTTGCAAGACGACATAGTGTGGAACCGTTATAAAATATACAGTATAACTCTGCCATGTTTAAATTCAATCATTAAAATAGTTTAATCTGTTAATTGGAATAAAATTCGTTATTATTCATAGAAAATTCCAAAGAAAGATTGAACTTATCCAAATCGATTGTTTATGTAAATGATCGCGTTGAACGTCTGTGTTTAAATTCACACTCGGCATATGTATTCCAGATAAAATATTTGGTCCGTTGCATTCATGTCCATGATTTTTTCTCAAATCACAACAAAATGATATATTTTTAAAGCAAATCATTGCAGTAGACAAGATAAAAATCGATATTCTATATTTAATTATTTTAAGACTTTGTTAATGTAGATAGTCACACTGGACTCTAGTGCCAAATAAGAAGAACAAGAGTATTAGTGTAGATAGATCAGTGTTCATCAGATCAGTAGATTAAAATTTATTAACTTCTATTTAATAAGGATGATACTACTGTTTTCGAAGGCGGTAGCAAACTGTTTAAATATTCCAATTGAACAAGTTTAAATAGTAAACTAATTGCGAAAATGACTAAAATCAATGGTGTCATGTGCGTTTCAGTGTGTGTTTGTGAAACCAATTGTTGTAAAAGTGTGAAAACGTCGCTTTTCAAGCGATAGTGCAGATCACTACTCCCAACTGGAACAAAAATGGAATGTCGTTGTAGGTTAAAGCAATCATAATGCACATGTCAATAAATTGTACTTCTATTTGAGTATTTTTCTCCACTGCTTTTGGCAAAATTTACTTAGTTCGCTTGTATTGTCTGCAAGAATCTATTAATGACAACAGTGAGTAACACTTTAACATCATAATAGATGATGATCCAAACCCGTCAGCTCCAAGAACTAATAAAAATTTTAAAGTCGGTTTTGTTTTCTAGGATTTCAAATCTTTTTTCAATCGTATTTTTTGTATATTCCTATACGTATTTCGGCAAATTTACTTTTGCCTTCAGCTATCTGTTGCACAGTCTATCTAAGCAAGCACATTATATAGAACTTATCTATTTCATCTAAGAGATTAATTAGTTTTTGTAGCTTTAAATTCTTTAAAGTGTCATCAATTGAAAATTATGACTAAAATTAACGTTGTGACATATATGTATGTACATTCATACATGTACGAGCAAATGTAGGTATGACCTGACTTTACTTCTTTTAACACCTATTAGTACGATATAGTATTATTGTTTAAACAGCCAAATACAATTTTTTTAGTCTAATTTAGATGACAGATTATTTTTTTCTGGTACTATAATCTATATTAGATATCAACAGATTTAAGTAATATGTTCACATAGGTAAATAGCAGGTACATAAACTCCGATATTCTTAACTTCTATGTATCCATATATTTAAAGAAAGAGGAGCTAATTTAGCTATTTTAAAGAAATTTTTAAAATCGATTAAAAATGAGTGTCTTATAAATAGCGCAAATAAAATTCATTTATATATTAGATAATATATAGGTAAATTACAATTTTAGCAAAACGACTACTAATTAAAATTGGTTAATAAATGCATTATGGCAAAAACGGATATCTTTTTGTCTAAACAATAAGGATTAGTAAATACAAGAAATTTTCGGGTATTAATCCAAAATATAGTACAATTGTTGGTTTGAAAACGAACAAACACAAATAGACTTTAAAGGAATTTAACTTGAGTAGTTAGCCTACTTTTTCAATAAAAGATATCAGCAATCTTAACAAGATATGATTTGCTTGTAGATCCATCTGTGTCCGTAGAAGATTTTTTTATCTTCTCCACACTGCAGTTGAACAACATTACTTCAACTAATCAATAATAAGTAAAATAATAATAATAAGTAAAAAATATAATTTCAGTTTACATAAATTTCACACAATATATTTATGAATTATTTTATGTATACAAATAATTATTTAAGAATATTTTAAAAATGTTCAAGAAATCATTTCCAATGTAAAACACCCAACTTTTTTAGAGTTGGATAACTTTAGAGCTTTTAGTATTTCACGTAATTATATTCCATGAAATCTATTGATCAACTGGCGCATGAGTATTACTCTCTAAACTAATTTTAAAATAAATTTGGAGGATTTGTTTTTATATTATATTAGTGTTTCAAGTGAAAGTTATGCTATTCAAAACACCACATAATATACTGTAATTAAAATGTACCATTTTGTTTACTATCATTTACCAATTAAGTTATGTATTTTATAATAAAATTATAATTTATTAAAGCCGTATATAAGGTAGATAACGCAAAAATTTGTTGTAACCGAAAAATTGTTCTGCAACAGCATTAATCTTCACATTAAATAAATTTTGTTTAGATTATATTTTAAGTTTTTTTTAATGCAGTTTAAAAATATTCGATTTCAATAAATTTGTCCCTTTCGTGTCCAGCAACGGTAGCAGCTTTATAGCAAGTTATATATAATTATTCCAAATATCAGGAACATAAGCATAAAATGGTTTTATTTGGCATTAGCGATTAAATTATTCACAGCTTTTACCATCTGGAAGCAACAACGTTGGATTACTGGAAGTACATATAAATCGATATTATTTATTAAGAATGATATTTGTGTAATAACTTCATACTCAATTATGTCTGCATTGTGCCCTTCAGCAAGCATTTTTAATTTGACTGCATTCACAGGTACGCCAAATTGTAACATTTTAAAATACTTTTTATAACGTACATCATCGCAAGCACGCACACCTATAGGTACAGGGGATTCGACCACATCTCCACTTCCAGCTAAATGTTCAGTTTCCTGTTGTGCAGTCTCTACATTATTATTTTTTGTTGCGGTTTCTATATTTGTTGAGTCTTTTACTGTTGTAGTTTCGTTTGCTGTAATATTTAATGTTTTAACATTTTCAGTAAGGTCTGGCACAGATGCAAGCTATGTAAATTGTTTGACAGGATTTATGTTTTTTAATTTTCTTTATATATGAATATATGTAACCTTTTCTTCTAGTATTATTAGCGCAGCTTCGATTCTCTGTAGTTTTCTTTCTAATTCGATGAATTTTGTTTCACAATTTGTTGAGAATTCATTCAAAAAACTGCATGAACTGATAAGGAAATGATTGACAAAAGCTAAAATACGTTTCTTTTGCAAAGGTGGTACCTGTTGAATTTTTACATTTAAATAAACGTTAAATATTTTGAATACATTTTAAAAGTTTATTTTTTCATACTACATACTTGTGATTTGTCAATTGATTGTGTTAGCAGTTTAGTAGCATCCATTATTTTATTAACAAATAAAATTGTATCATACGCACGTCAAGACATATTTGAATGTCACGACACCCGTCATAAGTGAGTGGTGTTCAGTCACAATTGACAGTTTGAAACAAGTGCGCATGGTATGCACTGAACATGCTCAGTATATATAACAATAACAAGTAGTATTTGTCCAGCTTCATGTAAATGTGTTAAAGCCGTTTGTAAGTTCGAATATATTGAGGTAAAGTAAATTGAAATTTCCTAGGTATTTTTTGCACTGCACTTATGTAAATATTTATTTATTTTTTTATTGCACTTATTAATAACGTTTGGTTAAATGTTTTCAAATTTACTTATTTATTTATTAAACGTCTTACAATGGTATCATTGTAACACCTAATTTTCATAATGGTAACACCTAATTTATCCTACTTGAAATTCTGGTATATACCAACATTCGCTGCCATACCGATATAATTTACAATTTCCCTCAATTTACCATTAATTTACTCGAGCTCGCATACGGTCTAACTATTTGAAATAAAAAAATTATGTATATTGTGATCAAAATACCATACTATTCTTTATTTAAAATAGTTTGAAGCACACAACAATAAAGCATTAAGAGAGTTAATAAAAGCATAGTCTGAGTTTTAATTTTGCAGCTGCTTAAAATAATATTTAGGTCGTGTGCGACTTAGGCTAAGTTGATGCTAAACCAAATGGGAGATTTTTTGGGATTTTTTGTACTGCATACATTTAGCCATTTATCAACACGTATCGACACATCACTACATTATCGGCTCATCTTAGAATTTCCCTCATTTAGAACGCAACTTAGTCTAACTCGCACACGATCATAGTATAGCAACAGCTTTCATACATATGTATATTGCGAAAATGCTAGAAACCGAAATTATATTAAATAAAAATAAACTATATTTGTTAAAGTAATATATACTATATTTTACAAAGAAATATAATTTTTTCAATATGGTTTCAATATCAACTTCAATATATACATATATGGATATGATAGAAAAGTCTAAGGTGCCGAAATGAAATATGGGAGAAATAGCAAATATGCATGTGGGGATATTGTATAGACGATCAACAGAGTGTTCTTTCATTCAATTGCACTATATTTGTTTGATTCTAAATATTTAAGGTAAGTTTAATAAGTAATATTCATAAATAATTTTTTTAACTATATATACTGCTTAATGCTGGCTTAAGTAGAGTTAAATAAAGCTTATTAAAAATAATTTATATATATATTTTTTTCGTATACGTATTGTATACGAGATACACATATCAAAAACTGCTTATTTATATAATGCCTTGTTCATGATTTTTATTTAGCATGCTAAATTCGTACTATGATGCTTAAGTTTAGCAAATTTGCAGAACTTGTAGAGTCTTACATTACAAATAAACTGGCAATTATCTTTATTAGCGGCTTATCTTAATGGTGCTATTATATTGATTGATCTTTTTACCTATAATTAAATATTCGGTTTCATAGAAGTTTTTTTTTTTATTTCAAAAATTGTAGTAATTTGACAAAACTCAAACTGTGATGGTATCGGCAGACGGAACTGTGATTCAATGTCGTTAGCATAATGCCTGTTATACGTACATGATATTGAATATTTAAAAAACTTTTATTTTTATTCATGTTCCAAGTTTAAATTCCACTTGTCCTTGTCTATATATTAGGACTTTTTCATGAAATGTCGAACAACATATCAAAAAGTGATGTTGTTCAGGTTATATAGGGACGTCTGTTTGATCACCATAGTTTAGTTATGTTAGAATACTGTTCCAAGTGAGTATCTATGTTTTATATAAATTATTTGTTGTTTTACTAGAATTTCTATAATTTAATTATGTGTGGCTTCTCCAAATTTCGTTGCAAATTAAGGTTGAACATAAAAATCGATTAAAAATTATACCAAAACAAGGCAATAACGTCAATAATGTAAAATCGAGAATGTACTAAACTTTACATACAGCATAAACAGCAGCAACAACAACAACAACAGCGCGTACGATATTAGCATTAAATTAGTTATATTATTGATTTCATTGGTAATTTAATCTAGGAATTATCATAGACGTACTCGTATAGAAATACTAAACATTCGATTTTAAGTTGTGGGGATTATTTACCTTAATGGAGTCATACTCATCGCTATCGTCCGAACTAATCCAATAAGTGGCCGCACGCGAAAATCAATTGTCAGTTTTATTTTATTTGTTTCTCCTACGTGTCAATTATGTGTCAATTAAGCCACAAATTGCAAGTCGCGCCGAGTCATTCCCAGTAAACTGTTGCGCATCAACGGAAACGGTATGTGCAGCATAAATGCGAGCATGAATAGTGCTACCCCACTAGTGCTAGTGGGAGTAGCACTAAAGAAATGTGGATCGATTGTACACTGCGAGTAATACCGAGCAAAGCTTCTTGTTTTACTGAGTCGCGTGAATAATGACATGACGATAATCAACCGTTATGCTAGCTTATTGGAGAAGAATTTATTAAAGTCGTTCTAAAAAACTCTACGCTTGCTTGTGTATAAATTTAAATGGTTCACATATGAAAATCTTAATAAAATAGTACAAAATACTAGTCCAAAGTATGTCAATAGTGTTCCTGCAATTTACACAGTGCGCTGCACTTACATCTGTTAGACAAACTTGCTGTTCACTCAACTCAACTCGGCTAGATATAAATTTATTTATATTTGTTGAGCTTTATTTATTCATTTGAGAATTTTGACTTTGAAAATGTTCATCTTTTTCAGAAATTTTAAAGCACAGCGAGACTTATTTTTTGTTATTTGCATTTTTGGTCCTGGTTTTGTTTTTCCTCCTACCTTTATCGCATTTTTTAAGCTGTTAAGTAACAGTAAAGTAACATCATGTTTCCACTGCAGCTAAATCTACTTATGTTAATAAAATAAATATTTTGTCGTTTCAAATTTTGGTAATTTCCCTTGTAGCATTTTTCGCCTTAAATTAGTTGATTTATTTATAATGAACTCATTTATATGAAAGCTCTTTGTATGGTAATTTAGCCTCATAAGCGGCTTTAATGAGCAAAACTGCCTAAATGAGAAAAGTGGAAATATGGTAAATTAAATTAAGTAAAGTAAGTGTAAAAGGGTTAAATGGAATTTTTTTATATTTTTAACGTTTTAAAAATATTTTCTTTCCGATAGAATACACTTCTACGAATGATTTATTTTAGTCCTGAAAACCTTTGTCAAAGTCGATTTTTGGCATGCCATTTAAAGGGTGCAGCGATTTAGTTTTATCTACTCAGCCATGTTGTAACGGTATATATAAAGCGGTATTTTAAGTTTAGAGAACAATCCGATGTTACAGGAGCTAAATCAGGCGATTATGATGGTTGAGCAACAATATGGATTGAACTTTTGATGAATTGGTTTCGAAGAATCAATGCGGTGTAAGCTGATCCATTATTGTGGTGTAAAAATTGGCTGGTTGTTTTTATGATGACTTAATGTATATTTTATAATGTTTAAATAGTATTATTTGTTAACAATTGCGCCTGATGTAGGAATTTATAGTGCACCGCACAATGATAAACGAAGAATACTGTTCAAATGAAACTAATGTTTTCAATCTTGCTTTATTAGTTCTCTGACTATTAGAGGAATATTATCTTATTGTGATAGTCAGAAAACATTGCTTTACAAATTTCAACGCGAAGCTGTGTTTCCAAAAAATTAAGTATTTTTAACGCCAAGTGAAAAACGCTTTTAAGAAAAAAATCCCATATGATATTTTTCGTTTCTTTGATCAGAAAAGAGTGTTTCTTGAAATACTCCATATTCCATATGGAGTATTTCCATTTTTCATTTAATAAAAGTAAAAGGGTTCTTTGTGTTTAAATGACGATAAAGCAAAAGTTCTTATGTTAAGATTTAATACATATCTATTTATAATATATATTTTATTGAATCTCTATAGTTATAGGAGCATAGGGCCGCAACAAAGATCTACCACTCGTTACGATTGTTGGCTAGTAGCTTCAACTCTCCTCCGTTTTTCCGCATGTGTTACATTCTCCAAGTGTGTGCAGTAGTAGTGCCAAAAAAGTAATTATCCGTTACTTTGTATTCGTTACTCAAGAAATACCGGAGTAACGAATACAAACTTTTTATTGTATTCGTTACTTTTACTCATTTTACCAATGAGTAGTATTCGTTTTACCTACTCTTTTGAGTACTTGGTAACGATTACTTTCAACAGCTGTTTTCGCGGTTTAATAACAACTACTTTATTCAAAAATTTTGTTCGTTTTCAAATTTATTAAAAATGTGTGAAAATATTAATAATAAAAAAAGTGAAATTTGGATTCATTTTGAACCAGTAGGAAGTGAAAAAGCTAAATGCAGATTATGTGGAACAAACTATTCAATAAAAGGTGGTTCTACTTCAAATTTGAGAAAGCATTTAAACATTAAGCATCCCACGGTCCTAAGCGCCGTTAATCGGAATCGTGAAGTAACGAAACCGCAGTAACGAAAGCGCAGTAACGAATACTGAGTAACTAATACTGAGTAACGAATACTGAGTAACGAATACATACTCGAAAAGTAACGGGTAGGTACGAATACCCAAAAGTAACGAAGTTTGGCACCACTAGTGTGCAGGTCTTTTATATTAGCTTACATATATCAATCTTATTTTCTATATTCAAGTTTGCTTTAGCGTTGAATAAATCTATTAATTTCATTGATTACCTCTGGCTTGAAACATTGTAATAAATTATTTTAAATTTACATTCTTTAAAAAGATTTTACATGTTTATACTGCGTTGCTTTATATATTATTTCCGCTTATATATTAAGTATATTTCTACCTTTCGATTATTAAATTTTTTTTTAATTCAACAGACTAAGGTGGCATTTAACACAACGATTAAATCTTTTTGATAACACTGATAAGGATTTTCGATTTGTTTTTCTCGCATTTCAAAGTGTTAAAAATGCATAGCGTTAATCTATTAATAATATTTAGTCTTTTTTTTTTGAGCTTAGTACATATGGTTCAATGAT